AACACTGTGACTGTGCTTAATGTCACTGAATTATACACTTTTTTTTTTAAATGGAGGTACTGGGGATTGAACCTAGGACCTTGTATATGCTAAGCACGGGCTCTACCACTGAGCTCTAGCCCCTCCTCCAGTGAATTATATACTTTAAAGTGATTTAAATTTTACGTTAGGTGTACTTACTCATCATAAAAATATTTGCCAGCTTCATCCAACAGATGAATAGATGTGGAAAACCTCACAGAACCCCTGCTTAGTTGGAAGCCCACAGAGAGATAGGGACCAGGATCTGGAAATTGTGCAGGATGGCGTAGAGGAAGCCTCCACGTCCAACGGCATGGCAGGGGGCGGGGGCCCCAGACTCTGGCTCCAAGGTCGGAAGCTCTGGGGAGATGGCCCCCACTCTGGTACCCCCAGGAGGCTAATATGGGGTGAGAGGAAGAGGGGCACCCCTCAGGAAGCGGGGTGCAGGACAGACCAAAGCAACCTGCTCATGGTTCTCCACCTTGGCCTACTGAAGTTCTGGACCAGATCATTCTATGTTACTTGTGTGCCTGTGGGCATCCCTGAACACTGTAGGACACTGAGCAGCATCCCTGGCCTCCACCCATTAGACACCAGGAACACTCACCCAGATGTGACAACCAAAAGTGTCTCCAGACCCAGACAAATGTCCTCTGGGTCACCATCAGCCCCAACTGACAACCGCTGCTCTGTGTTGGGGGGGTTGGTCCAACTTTGGGGAAAGCTGTGACTCCCCTAGTAAAAGCAGTTTCCACACGACGCGGTGTCTCCCCGGGGTCAGGGTCCTGCCCGGCTCCCTCCTACCTGGACTGTCTCTAAAGGAGGGTGACAGGCTTTCTAACCAAACCATCCTCCATCAACAGAGAAATCCCACTGATCAGCCAGTTCCCTTGGGTACATTTCTCCAGCTTCCTAATGGAGACAAGGCCCTGGAAACCCTAGGCAAGTTCCCTCCCTGCGGACACTGACCTCCGACTGGTGGGTACTAAGTTCCTGTGGGTTTCTGGCCCCTTCATTTGTGAATGCAGGTGCCAGGTTCCACCTTAGGATCCTCAGGATCCCTGTCCACCAGGTACAAGGCCCGAGCCTGGTGATCTCTTTCCTCGGCTCTCAGTTTGCTCATCTGTGAAATGGTATGAGCATCACCCACTGAGTTTGCTGCCAGATCCAGTGAGATGGCTACCTAGCGCTTGGCCCCACCACTGGCACATGGCAACAATGAAGAAAACTGGGCCTGCCCCCTAGTGAAGCCTCGGGACTCCCAGCCAGACCTGTTTCCCAAACCATCCCTCCCAAACTATCCCTCCTCCCAGGAAGCCACCTTGGTGGGGCAGGGGGTGGGGGGCAGAAGGAGGGAAACAGAAAGGACAACAAGACTCACCAAGGAGCTTCCCCAGCCTCAGGCTTGGCTGAGGGGATTCTCCAGCTCTTCGTCTGTCTGTCAGTGCGCTGTTTGCTGAGGGCTGAGCAGGCTCTGCTAAAACACCCTCCCCTACAGCCTGTCCTCCCTCCCACCTGGTGCCCCTAGGGATGTGGGTTGGACTGTGCTGATCTTTGCATGTGTCCATTGGCTGGGGGATGTTTGCAAGGACCGGGGGCAGGGAAGGGTGCTGGACACTGGCTGGGAATAGACAATGAGCCAGGGGCACCTGGAGCTCAGCAGGCGTCTCGTAAATCGGGGGCAACAAGGTGTGGTGGATCGTCAGGCTCTGGACTTGTCCCTGGGATCCTGTCTGGCCTTGGTCACCATCTCCCCACACTACCTCTGGCGAGGTGCTGAACCTCTCCCAGCCTCTATCCCTTCAGGTGTACAGCAGAATAAAGCAGTGACATGTCACAGGGTTAGGACAGCTGGTTCAGAGGCCTGGTCCCAGTGGTGCTCCACCAGCGGCATAATGAAGAGTCCTTGGACGGGGCAGTGGGATTAGACTTTTTAAGCAGGGAATCTAAAAAGAGCTCAAACAAATCTGCCCAAATGAGGGAAGGGTGGGGCCTTGTCCCCCACTTTCTCTGCAGCTGGACTTCTGTCTCCATCAGTTGCTTCTGTGTCTCCAGCCCTTTGGGGTTCACCTAGGCCAAGGCCTGCCTGATTTTTTCCTCCCCATGTACACATGGCTCTAGGCACCTTGGGTGTTTCAGAGCAAATATCAGTCCTGGAGTTGGGAATAGTGGGAAGGCGGTGAGTCCGCCTCCCTCCCAGCATCCAACTGAGGTTTGGGGAACACTGGAGCCCGCAGTAAGGAAACCCCAGCAGCCACGGGCAGGACACGCTTGCATGTCCCCACGGAGACCGGCAGGCCTCCTGCATCGGCACCTGCGCTGGACCACCAGCAGAGGGCGTCAGGCCACCATCAGGCGCCGCGCAGGCGGGTGGGTCAACGCCCATCCTCCCGCCTGCCGACGGTGGGAGCTCCTGCCCCCAAAGGCCAGCACCGGCTCTTCTGCCTTTCGGGAATCGGCTTCAAGCGGGGATTTGTCCCTGAGAAGTCGTCCGCCCAGTCGGCCCGCCGCGGTGACCAGAGAGCTGACGACCCGCGAGGGAAAGCTGGTCTCCGCGAGGCCCAGCTCAGTCCGTAGCCGGTCCTGGGTCCCACTGCACGCAGCTTCCTCTCGGCCAGGTGATCCCAAGCTGGTACCAATCGGCAAGGCCAGCGCGACGCTGAATGCCCGTGTTCAGTGAAGGTTCTGCATACACGTGAGCCCGCCTGGTTCTCTTCACCAGAGGGAGTGGATCCAGGCGCCCCCAAGCTCCCTCACCCCGTGTTCTGGCCCTCGGCCTGTACTCTAACCTAGCATTGCATCCTGAGAACATGTGCAGCGTCTGCACCACGGGTGTTTCCATGGGGCCAGGGCAGGGCTTTGTGTGGAGGATGCCTCAGGGTTTGCTGTGGGATCCATGAAGGAACTCCCGAGAACCCACTCACATACAAGGGTGGACTGTGCCACCCACCATGCTTGTGACATCATCTGCACTATGGCCCCTGAGCTGGCGCCACTGTCTGCTCCTCCTCCCGCTCCTCCCGCTCCTCCCCTCCTCCTCCTCTACCCACTCTCCTCTAAATCCTCCTCTTATCCTGCCTGACCCTGATCCAAGCAGTGATGCTGGAGGGTCAGTGCTGTCACTCTTCCAATCAACACTGTCCCATTTCTGACCTTTGATGTTGCTGCACCAGGACTCAGGGGACGTGGCCCCCGTCACAGCCGCCAGCTCCAAGAAGGTGGGTACCGTGAAAGGGGTCAAGTGTTTTCAGGACTGAAACCAATTTCCCCTTTAGCAAGCCAGGGGCAAGGAATTCATTATGCAACAGAGCTGGCCCTCTGGCATCAGGGAGCAGCTGCTAAGGTGGGATGGGACATCCCCAGCCCAGCCTGGTGGCTTCTCCCTGACGCAGGAAGGAACATTTGCAAAGCACCTGCAGTTACACCATCCACACCCATCTCACATGTGTCCTCTGAACACCTGTGCTTTTATTACTGACACAGAAAAAGGCAAATCTACAAACACCCATAATTTTGAAATAGTGCTGTGTGTGAATTTCAACATGTCTGGGATGACTGTAATTGATATGATGAGGTCACAAGCGCTGTTAGAGAGGTGTCCGAGGTCCCTTTCACAGGGAAGGAATACAGTTACCGATAGAAGACAATGAAAATATTGGTGTTTTTTTTCCTCATCCAGGTTAATGGACTCCTGAATTGTTCCCACAGATTCCAGGTTAAGAACCACTAAGTGGCTCTCAACCAGCATTCAACATTCAAATAAAAGTAGAGAGGAGGAAAATGTCAGTGTGCATCTCCCCTAGAGAGAGAGAGAGACAGGTGGGAAAATCTTTGCTTGATCTGGGGTTGTGAGCCCAGACTTTGCACCCAGACTACTTCAACTTGAATCCCAATGCTGCCACTTAGTGCTGTGTGACCAGGCCAAACCACTGTGCACTCTGTGCCTCGGTTTCTTCCTTTTCAAATGGGGTTAATAGATGTCCTGTCCTCTGAGGGCTGCTGTGGCAGGGAGTTTAGGTGGGACAGGGCCAGGCACTGTGCAGAATCGCCGAGTGTTTGGCTGGTGCAGTTTGATAGATGTGTGCATGTTCTGTGTCACAGCACAATGTGTTCCTGTGGGTCATAGTCCAAAATGTTGGAAGTCTGGAGGGCTCTGAGACTCAGACCTTGGCAAGCCCCCTTGGAGATTCCCAGTTTGGGATGGGAGAAACAAAGAATTTGCAAGATCTGGAATCTACATTATTGGGCTATAACAAATGACCATCTTTCAAGAATACTGTCCTTGGCTACCCTTGGCACTGGCCTTTGCCCAAGTTGATTACTTGGCTTGGAATGCCCCTCTCCCTTTTTACCCAACTGGCCAGTTCTCACTCAGCCTTTAGGACTTAGCTCAGATATTGACTCCTCCAGGAAGTCTTCCCTGAAGCACACCCCACCACCGTACCGCTGGGCAAGAGTCTATGCACAACACCCTGTATCTGTCCCTATCAACACGGATGCCACAACCAACTGCCAGTATCTGCTTCTAACCTGTCCGCCATTGGGTGCCCCCAGCTGGACATCTGGCCTCTTTTTAATTCCTCTGGGGTCCCGGGAGACTTTTGTGCGCCAGTCCTTGACAGACCTATGCTGAGTGAGTGAGTGAGTCACTGAATGAATGAGTGGATTCTCTGAGGTCTTTTGCACATGCAGAGAATCCTGGAATTGAGCCTGGGCAGCACAGGCCACCTGGATGGGATGGGGGCAGGGAGCAGTATGGGGCACCCTTGGAGCCCTGAATCCTCATATTTTATGGAATTGACCAGGGTCTGCATGGGCACATCCCTCATCCTGGGCAGAATCACTGAGGCCTGGGGTGTCAGGTCCACCGCCTGCCTCATCCTGCAGCTCTGCTCAGTGATCTCCACCCTGGAGGCCTCACCCCCCACAAGCTCAGAAGGCTCTGTTCGTATGCCAGACTCAAGGACCATGCCTGGATGCACTGTTCCAGCAGAAGCTTTATTTATTTGCGGATTCTGATTCAAGGTCTCAATCTAGACTCCTGTGCAGTCAGCCCACAACCAGCCAGACAGCATCGCAGGGTAACCCACAGCCCAGCCCTGCAGACAAAGAGTGACCAGTCTCCTCAGGCTGAGGTACTAGATGGTTGGACAGTGGTCATCTCTACTAGAGGATAATCCCACTCAAAGCCTATGCTGGAGATGCCCAGTAACTTATACTGCCCATAGATTCCAGTGAGCACCTTCTCACTCCCATCAGGTAAGGCAAAAAAGTTCCTGCCACCATTCTCTCCAAATACAGTCCACTTATTTTGGTCAGTGTAAATCACCAAGTACCGGAGGAAAAGCCTGTAGGAGCCGTAGACTGCTGTAATGTGTTCGCCTGGCTGCAGGAGGAATTCCTGGCACGTCCCACCTGCAACTCCATAGCGTTCACTCCAGGAGGAGCCATACCTCACCTGGATGCTGGGAGGAAAAGGGAACTCTGAAAGCTCGGGATCCAAGGTGACTCACCAGACCCAGGTCCTCTACCCTCACCCCCTGGGCACCAGCAAGGAGGTCAGCCCTGTGACTGCAGTGTAAGTCCCTGAGCACATGACTTTGGGTTTCTGAGACAGGCATATGGCTCCCCATCCCCTGTTCTGTCTCTTTCAGACCCAGTGATTTGGGCTTTTTCCCAGCCTCTCCAGGCCTCACTTTCTCATCTGCAAAGGGGGAGTGATTTGGGGGGTCAAGGGAGTCACTGACATCTTCCAGCAGGAGAGCTCCACAAGGTGCCCAGTCACCATGACCCTCAGGAGGTGCCAGCTGCTCTCATTACTCAGAGCAGGGAGCTGTCCTCTGGCCAAACTTGGGCTTTTGGAGCCCCAGTCACTGCCACCAGACCAAGTAGCAGGCATGAGAAGCAGGGGACTCCCACATTCATGTGGGGGAGCTCCACTTGCTCTACCCCTCTGGGCTGATCTGTGGTCTTTCCCAACCTTGGTTTCTATCCCCTAGCCTTCCCACGTCACCTGATCCCACCCACATTCTGTCCCCTTTTGTGCCTCCTGCTCTGTCCCATTCCCTTGCCCAGGTCCCTGGGACCCTATAAGTGCAGAGCAAAGATCCACCCCATACTTGAGCAAAACACCCCCCACAACGTTAGAGGAATGCCCCTGGACTTGCTGCCTCTACACAATTCTTGTGTTCAATCAGTGGTCCACTCTGACCCTCACTTCCTCTTCTCTTTGGTCCTAACCTGAGAAGACCTTCCCCATGCTTTTCCCATGAGGCATTCTCAAACTGAGAGACCAGTATTTGTTGAATTTGGGTTGAAAGGTGAAAGTTTGTAGAAGTATCATCTATGCCTCCCTTTAGCTCAACCCAGGAAGCAGAAGCCAGAATTGTAGGTGGAGAGAGAAAGAAGTGGTGCTGGGGTGCAGGAGAGAAAGCAGCAGAGGAAAAGGGACAAAGGGAAGGGATGGCTGGTGTCCACAGGACTCTGAGGCCTCAACTAGCCTCAAAGAGTCATCAGGAACCCAGTGAGGATGTTGGGGGAAGAGGCCCTCAGCCCTCTTCCCCAAGTTCCCTAGGCTGTGGTGTGAGTGGGAACACAGTGATGTGGCCACGTGGCCTGGTCCTACTCACCTCTTAACTATGCCCACAGCACCTATACACACTCGAATCCCGGTTATTTCATTTCCATTGTCTTTGGAGGTACTGAAATACCAGCCTCCTCCGGATCCATAGATCTCTAGGATGAACGAAACAGGTGAGAGAGAGAAAAAAAGACACACAATGATATGCTGGTGATCTCTGCCCAGAAGAAGATGGGACAGTCCTGAGACTAGATTTAGTCTGTGACAAGGGCTGGGACCAGACCTCAGGTTCTGGGTGGAGGGAAGTGAGGGAGACCACCGGGGACAGGGGAGGATGGACTGGTGGAGGCAGACCCAGCCAGACTTACGTCCTGCCCAGCAGGTGCTGCTCCACAGGAGGGTGAGGGTCAGCCACAGCAGCATGGTTTCTAGCTGGGGAGTCAAGAGCTCCTGGAAGGAAGAGGACAGGCCGTCTGACTCTTAGGAGCCTCGCCAACCTCGAGGGGCCCCATCCATGGCATGGGGCACCATCTTACCTGGCCTGGAGAGTCTTGTGGCCTGGTCCCAGCACTGGGGATTCTTGCGGTGCCTGGTCCCCCTTCTATCTGGCCCTTTATACCCTCCTGGGCCCTGTGGGCCCCTGTCCAGAAGGGAGGAGCAGGGGAACAGGGAATAGCTGGAACGTGGGAGCTCTTCCTGGGGGAATCCCCAGAGCCATCCTGGGGGAGGCTCCCGGACATGCTGAGTTTATTTTCTTGGCTCTGTGGCCTACACAAACAACATGGGATGTGAGAGGCATTTATCTGTTACCTCTGGGTCTCTGTCCTCTGCACCCAGACTTGACCTTGACTTTGGAAGTAGGGGAGTTTTCTGAGAGCCTTTTCCAGCTTGATCAAAAAGTTTTCAACCCCAGGGGGATGTAGAGGTCCTCTGTGCCCAGAAGCTTCATGGAGCTCAGGCCCCCTGCCTCTTGCAGAACCCAGTTCAGGGCCTTATCAGTACTGGGCAAAGCCTTGTGTGCCCTTGGATTTCCCCCTAACCCTCAGAAAGTCGGAGTGGACAGTGCAGTTCTTTGCACCTGGTGCCATGTGGTGGAGACACCCCAGATGCTGGCCTTTCATGGCCTGTCACTGGCAGACATCTGGGATCTCTCCTTTGTGCTGTGTCTCAAAGTTGCTGGGGGTGAAATGGATTTAGTGTGCTATGAGGTGACAGGCAGCTAGGATGTGCTGACAGGAGGCAAAGCAGATGGGGGAGAGGGCGATTCTCTAGGCCCGTTCTTCTGAGAGCTCATGGGGACAGGATGAGAGGTCAGACTTTATCTGGGAGATAACAGGTGCTTCTTGAGGGCTCCTGATCTGGGGACCCTGCTGGTGCAGCACGTCCAGGCTTTCTGTGATTGGATGGAGCTAAGGATGTCAGCAGGGCCCCCCTGGCCATTGAGAAGAGCCACAGGGTCACAATCATCAACCAAGGGTGTGATTGTGGGTGTGGAGCTGGATCAGATCAGGTTGGAATACTGGCTTCCTGCTTTCTAGGCACACCCTTTGGGGAGCTCAAGTCACCTCCGTGTGCTTCAACTGTCCCCTCTAATGTAAGCAGACAGCAATAGAAGCTCCTTGCAAGGTACTCTGAGAATTCACTGAGATCCTTCTCCATCCAAGGGCCTGAACACTCAACCCTTTATGCCTCCAGGCAGGTGCGCAGGATGTTCTTTAATCAGATTTTGGAATCGCCTAAGATTAGAAACAACAGACCTGTCCCCTAGGCTGCATGAATGGTGTCCTCGCTGTGGTGGAGAAATGCACAGGCTTGGAGAAAGGAATGCATCCCCTAGGCTGTGCTGATGCGTTGCCATAGGAGACAGGCTGGGTGTGGACTAGAGTGTCCAGAACACCGCATTTGGTTACAGGGAGCAGAGGTACAGAGTATGGCCTGGCAAGTTTACAGCCTCACTTGGGAAGTGCTGGCTCAGCAGGAGCTGGGGACACTGCCCTCATCAGGAGAGCAGCACTGTGGGGTCTGGGGTTGACAGGAGAAGGCCCTGTCTACTGGCCCTCCGTTCCTTACATCAGGGACCTAGGCCAGGGGTCAGCACACTATGGCCCACAGGCCAGTTTGCCTGTTTTTACACAACCCATGAGCTGATAATGCTGTCTATATTTGTAAATGATTATTAAAAAATTCAAAAGAAGAATTGTGACAAGTGAAATACCCTGAAATTCCAATGGCATTGCCCATAAATATGTTATTGCCCATTTATTTGCATATTGTCTGGGGCTGCATCCAAGCAGCAAAGGCAAAGCTGGCCAGTTGTGACAGGACTTTATGACCAAGAATACATAAAACGTGTGGCCCTTCACCCACAAAGTCAGGATCACCAGTGGATCCCTATTCCCTACCCTGAAACGGATGCAGCCCTGTCCATGGTGCTGGCGGCAGGGAATGGGGAGAGGGGGGTTTATAACGGGCTTCATTTAACAACCAGCCTTGAGTGGGGAGAAGAGAGCAGAGAGGAGCTTTATCCAGAAAGCTGCACCCTTTCTTCTGGCCCTGCACTGGTCTCCCTGGAAGAGAGACTTAGGGACTTAGGCTCCCACTGATTCATGTTGCAAAGATGAGAGCCCCACACCCTGTTCTCCAAAGCTCTTCACCCTACCCCCAGGGGCCTTCAGCCTAATAAATACAGCAGAGGGTGGGCTGGAAACAGCAGGGTCAGCAGGCTGCAGAGGGACAGAGAACCCCTCCTGAGGCCCTGGAGTCTCCTGGGAAGGCGCAGGCGGAAGAGACCTAGGACTTTGGCAGATACAACTCCTGCAGGAAGGGGGCCAGGGGTCTCACAAAGGAGGCTTGTGTTCTTGTCCCAGCCCAGCCTCTTTTTCTGGCAATGCTGCCAGTTCAGATGCTATCCTTTCAGCTGCAGGCTGCCAGGGTTTGTCGCTCAGAATGAAAGTCTGTCTGGACCAGGACTCCAGGAAGCAGTCCCTGACATAGGAATTAGAGGAAGAGACAGTTGCCAGTCTGGACAAAGAGAGGATGACAGGACTTGCCCAAGGGCACACAGGAGGCACATTTTCATAGAGTACATGACGAGCATGCTTATAATGAATGCACATGTATACACATGCATTCAAAATGAAGATGTGCACCATGGCTCAATGTGGATGAACCCTAAAACACACACAGCTGCCCAGCTATCCCCACACACAGGGGCTTGCACTAGCCCGAGACACCCATGCACACCTATGCTAGAGCTTTTGCACCTGAAGAAGCCCCACCCCCTCGTCCACCCTGGCCCAGTGCTGGCCCTAAGCCTGCATGGGAGACTCAACATAGGCCCTTTGTCCCCTGGGATCAGAGCTCCCCAGGAGGGGATTTATAAGCATTTTAATCATAATCCCCTCTCTGGGCATACCTTGGACCTCACTCTGCCAGGTTCCTAGAACAACTGGAATTCCTTCTGGTAGAGGCAGACACTGGCCAGTCTGGCTTGTGGGTCAGAGTTGGGTCAGGGTTGACACCTCTTGTCTCCCTGTCCCTGGCTGTGGGGCTTGGGAAGACCCCCCTGCAGCCTGAGACACAGCAGATAAGAGGGCCTCCATCCCAGCCCACTCAAAGCTGGCTGACCCCTTCCTGCAGCCCTCTGGAGGAAGCCCTCAGCCTCACTCAGAGGCTGGATCCTATGTCCCTGGCTCTGGTTTGGGGGCAAGTCTGGCAGGGCTCAGACTCCTGGGGTGAGGTGGGGGTACTGGCTCCTTTACATGGTCTCATCTGATGCCTTAGACCCTAGGAATCAGATGGAGGATCCTGCTGAGTGAGGGAGGAATATCAGAAGGGAAGAGGCATTTCTGTCGCAGTCCCAAGGGAAGTCCAAAGCTGGCCTTTGTGCATGAGTCTGCTTTTGGGTGGCTGCTGCCAAACAAGGAGGCCCACCCTAAGGGGACAGCTTGGCTGTGCATGTCTGAAACCCTCAACTCTCCCCCATTTACTCACTCATTCAAAATCTCCTTGGATACCATGCTTTAAGCAAAACATTTTTCTCCACTTTTCCCCAGGAGAGACTCAATGCATTTATTGGAAAGCCAAGACACACAACCACACATTGCATCTAATCTTTTATGTAATTAAAATTCAATTAGAGCAAGTGTTGAAAATAAAATGAACTATACCCAAGGGTCAAATTGAGAGAGGCAGGATATCCAGGTTCCAGTTCCCCGAGGCTGCCCTGGCACAAGTGTTTATACCTGGTGTACACGTCTGCGTGGGCTGCTGTAACAAATGCTGCAGACGAGGGGACTTAAATAACGGAGGTTTATTTCTCACAGTTCTGAAAGCTGAAGTCCAAGATCAAGGCTCCGAGTCAAGAGTCTGTTCTTGGTGAGGGCTCGATTTCTGGTTCAACCCACTACAGGGAGTTACCCAAATAGCCTGAGATGTTCCTGGAAGCCCCTCATGAATCCCAGATCTGCTGTATCCTGCCTCCAAGACCCTAGACCCACTGAGTCTATTAACTGTCAACTCAACCCCATCTGCCTCCCCTTTTGTAAGGCTCCACCACATCGCGGGGATCCAGCATTCCTAGAGAATTCTTCTCTTTGTAAATTTTGTGTTGTTTTCTAGGGTTTGGAGGTAACTGGGAGAAGCAGACACAAGTGTCTAGGCCTCCATGCTGACGCACACTATTACCCATCCTTCCATCTGCCTGTCCTTGAACTTGCCTTTCCAAACAGACTACTGAAATAATGTTCAAACGAAACTAGGGTTATTTCCAGATGGTGGGATTTGGAACATTTTTCTATTTCTTTTTGTTTTTTGTATTGCTTTGATTTTTTAATAAGATTGTACTAATTTTACAAAGATAGAATGATTATTCTTTTTTAAAATGAGATATACTTTTTAACTTGTAAGTTCTCAGAAGATATAAATGTGGAAGCCCTCAGTGTCAAGAACAGTGTGGGAAGTGGGTGCCTCTTACTTTCCTGGCAGAGTGGACTGGGCACTTTCTCCTGGTTTAAAAACCTCAAAAACATGAAGCCGTTTGACTAAAGCATTGCACCCATAGAAAAGTTATCCTAAGAAATAGTTAGGAAGGTGTGCCAAGATTTATAAATGAAGATTTGTCCACCACTAGGAGGTTGATTACAAGCTTGGTTCTGGTGATTTTAAGTTTCTTCTTGACATTCCTTTTGCTGACTTTCATTTTCTAACAAGAATGCATTACTTTGATAATACTCGTAAAGCCATTTTTCCTTTGCTAAGAAGTCTGGTTCTGCAGAACAATTTCTCCCATCATCTGAAACACCTGTCCAGGGCAGTGGCATGATGAGGCTGATGAGAATGGACAGATGAGCTGCCCCAGGCAGGGCACATGCCAATTCTTCCAGCCACAATCCACCTCTCACATTAGAAGGAAAAGCAAGCCCCCTTTTTAGGCAGATGGTCTGGTGGCTCATAAGACTCAACAAGGGAGAGGCTCCTGGGGTAAAGAAAAATGGAGGCCCCTCCATGAAGAAGGACTCTACACAGAGAGCCTGAGCAGCTGGAGACAGAATGGGGTGACGGCAACAGGGAGGCGAGGAGTGGAGGTGGGGGCAGAGTTATCACAACATAGAAATAAGTTCATGGACATAAGCATTGCTTCAGGCACCTT